TGCCCACGTTGAGAGTCCATTTCTCATAGACTCCTTATGCAGTCAACAGAGGAAAAGAGCTGGATACCTCCTATAGACAATCCAGATCCTATTTTGGCTGAACGATCCTTTTCTGGTGTGAATCTCTCTCTGGGGACATAGGCTAGGGAAACTAGCCTCTTTTCTCTGGTGCCTCAGTTAAGTGTATACTTTTAGTTGGGATTAATCCAGGATTATTTGTCAAGGCGTAATACACAGCACTCTGGAGAAGAGTAAAACATGTCTTACCCCTGCAGTTATTAGACACTAATCTCAAAAAGAAAAAAAATCTATTCTTAGAAACACCAACATTTTTTTCCAGCTAATCAATGTTCAGCAGCTGAATTGACACCTGCTAGATCACTAACAGAGTAGACATACCTACATTTTAAGCTCCTTAAAGTACTCAGAAGCAACAGGAGTGTAAATTAATATTGGCTGAAACTCTTCTCAGAAAGGTGTGGACATCAGCTCCTGTAAGCTGTTTTGAATATCCTCCCTACCATTCACCCAAAAATACTAAAGCTTTTCATTAATCATCTTCCTAAATTTAAAACTCACTGCAGAGGGGAGGTGCTGTCATACAATGAGATTATGAAGGCTCAAACAGATAAGAGAGACAAAAGGTGCAAGAAGTCAAAGACTTCTTTATTCCCATTATTCCCATTATTCCCATTCTGAGACAGCGCTGCAGACCATAAGATTAGCAGAGACCATTTGCATTACTGAGTCTAGTTCCTTAGTTTGAATTATTCTTGTTCTGTACCATTTTTTGGCTCAGTCTTCTGCTCTTTATGAATATACATACATTTCTTCAGGCTTCCAAGTCAAGTATGCATTGTTCATAAGGACTGAGCACATCACTGCTTCATTTTTCAGGTCCTACTTTCTTTTGCAGTACAGTAGGAAGCAATAGCAGAGTTTGCAACACATCTCAGCTTTTGAATCCTTCAAATTATGTGCTTACATCCCTGAGCATAGGGTATTGTATGCCTGAGACTACTTCTAGCCACCTCAACCCATCCATATCCAAGATTCTTTCAAAGCCACATGGACAGAATCCATAATTCTTTAAAATGGACAGTTACTCTTATAGTCTCTAATGGCTGAGGATGAGATCTTAATTTATAATCTCACTGAGGTGGAAGCTCCTCTTGGAGAGATCCCATGCCTGAAGAGCTTATAAACATACACCCAAGTCATACAAAGGAAATACTGCTATTACTCATGGTGAACAAGTCCATGTTCTGCAAACAGTATTTGTTTATCTCTCAAATACAATCCTGAAGGAAGACCTGAAAAATGCTGATGAGAAGCTAAACCAAGAAATGTATCTTCTTCTGGAGTTCATAATGAAGTAAAGCTTAAACCATTAGGTATTACGTAAACACTCTTCTAAAGTCATAAAGCCAAACTTTGCTAGATGTGTGATGTTTCTGTACTTCAGTTTTGCTGAACATACATACTTTTGCAATAGCTTTAATTCAGACAATATTTTGGTGCCACTATGAAAACAAGGGATTGAAGGTGTATATATTTGGAAAACAACATATAGATAAATGAGGTCTATTTTTTAGCTTAATAACTCTTCAGCTGTGATTTGAGTTTGGAATCAAATGATTCTCATTTTATCAGAACTGGTGATACTATTTCTAGGTTAAAGTGGAGGTTGATTACAATAATGTAAAGTGATCCTCAGGTCAAATCCAATACTGTGGAACTCAGAAAGTGGAAAAAAAGCCTCCCAATTTAACTAGTCTTTGGGTAGACTCCTAGACCATTCTCTTCTAGATTTTCTTACTATGAGACACTATCTTCACTTTAAAAAGACAAGTATATATTTCTAGGGGTAAATATATATATATTATATATATATATATTTATATAGTGTATAGTGTACACTATGTACGGGGTGTGTGTGTGTGTGTGTGTGTGTGTGTACACATATATATATATATATTGCTCTGTTTTACTGGAGTTGATTTCTTTATGTATGTTCCTTAGTTTTATATGGAGGGTCAAGTTTGAGCAAGCAGCAGAATTTCAAAAAAAAAGTATCACATTTCACTGAGTTCTATATCAAAGCCAGGCATAAAGCATCTCATGATTTTTATGTAGCAGCATAAATCAACTAAGTTTACTCATAACCACACTGAACACTATATGATACGAGTTTTGTATGGTTCAAGGATTTGTTATTTGTATGTTACTTAAACACTTCATAAAATGACTTTAGTATCTGTTCACTGTGTATATTTTGTGAATTCCTTCTCGGAAGATACAATTTTTTTTTCCCTATCTCTGGTATGAAAGCATAAATTTGGGATATTTAAAGAACTACCATCAAAAACCTTCTTGTGCTATTTATTCTCAGCAGATTCTGATTCTCCTTCCTGTTAACCATTCTACACTGAAACCAACTTATTAATAGGCTGTCTCTGTTTTCTTTGATCAGTGGTTCTTGGAATTGAAAGGGTGTGGAAACCTGATTTATTTTTAAGTCCAGAATTATGATTCTCTACAGATTTCACATAAGACATTTCTCATTCTGCTTTGGAGGACTGTGTGGGAAGGTTTAATTTAACATGATATTTATGTATTCTAGATACATTTAAGATATGGCACAACTAAAAATTAAATTTAAATATAACGTTAAAATGTTTCAACCAAAGACTTTAAAACCACTACATTTTATCCATATTTTTTTTATGTTTCTTAATAGGAAATGTTATCTTTGGTGAAAATATTCACTCCTGGTAAATATTTTCAAGATGTTCACATGCTGCTCATCAAGCATAGAGGCCTTGTGAAAATGGGTAGGAGTACTGTTGTGTATTACTTGCTGATCAGGGAAGGACTTTTAACTAGGATCAATGGGGATCTGATTATATTCTTCTTCCACTTTTCTTGCATGAGATCTAGCAATCGTGACACTGCAAGAGTCAGGTCAGCTCACTGATGTGACAAAAAACAACATCAGCCCCCCTCCCCCTGCCAAAACCTAACCTACCCTGATCTAACTTGCCACGCAGTTGCTAGATGTAACACAGGAGAACAACACGCAGCTGGGGCTAAGGGCCAGGTAGTGGGACTGGCCTTTTCAGCAATAACTTGCACTTGGACTGAATTAAACTAACATAAAACTGTACTTTTATTTAAGTTTGAGTTTTCAGATCAATTATGTTTAAAAAAAAGCCATCCCTAGGCACCTCACAAAATGGTGGAAGTTCTCCCCACACAGATAGGGATTATTCTGAGAATTCACACAGGAGGGATGAGGCTCCAAACCGGACCAGAGCAACGGGGTACGGGGCAGAAGAGGTAACAGGGGGCAGCCATGGAACTAAAGAGCACTGGAACAGGTAATCAAGCAATGTGCAGAAAGGAAAAAAGAAATCCAGGAAACAGGTAAAAGGAAAAAGAAAAAAAGGAAAAGGGAAAAAGGAAAAAGGAGGCAGTTATTTGTATGCACAGGCAGCAGACATTCCTATGGGGGAGGATCAACAAATGTCATATATCTGGACTTCAGTAAAGCTTTAGACATCACCTCAAGTGATATTTTATTATCAAGCTAGAAGATGAGTGCAAAGCTGTTTTTGCACTCTTAGGGAACCCCTGCGAAAACCATGATGATTTCTGATATGATCTATTGCTATAAAAGATTTTGTAAACACATTTGAGCTATGTAATAAAGAACTTCAAACTGCTAACTTAGGAGCAAAGAAAAAATGTGACAAGCTAATTGTCTTAGATCATTTATACCTTCTGTCTCTCAGTAAGAGTTCTTCGTGAAATGAACAGGAGAGCAGCTAACCTCTGGAAACAGAAGGATTAATCCATAAAATAATACCTCTCTTTCACGAATTTGTATCCTTTGGTTAAAGCAGAGGAAATAAAAAGCCAAGCTTGATCAACATTTCTAAAACAAAGTAATCATTTTAGTTCCTGGATATATTTATTAACTGAAAGTATAAATTAGAAAACAACCTTAGGTTAAATCCAAAGCTGCAGCCAGACCCAAGGTATTCCAAATGTGCCTGTTTAATATTCACTGCAGATTAACGGGTATTACACATTGATTCTAGCTGCACTTTTAGAGGAGGTGGAGGAGGAGGCAAGACACTGAGATAAAAAATACAGTCTTTGTTTCTAAAACAAAAATGAGATTGTAAAATTGAAAACATGAAAGTGGAAGAGAAACACTAATAACTATACTCTTTATCTTCAAAAAAAAAATCAACAAAACCTTGCTTCGCTGTATGTTCCAGTGTACTACAGGCAGGCATTATCCAGCCCCTTTCTAAATGTTGGCAGGAGAGTTTGGTTTCCCAACTCTGTGAAATTCTAAAATATAATGAAAATGCAGCTACCGTACTTTCTAAGCTCTTGGTAGATATTTTCACTTACTTTGTCATTTTCAAGGGGGAAACAATGGTGGCATCTGTGCCCTGGTGCTAAGTGCTCATTTGCATGCAGAGGCAGAGAGATATCCGTTTATTATCAATTTTATGCATTACTTCATTTCATGGTGTTAAAACAATTACATTCAAAGGGTTCAGCTTTTTTTTTGCTTTCCAGGGCTCCAGCAGCATCATATAATAACGTTATTCAGGGAGAGACACATACATCATAGTTTACTGACTTAGAAGTAAAAAAGAGAGCGAGAGAGAGAGAGCGAGAGAGAGAGAGAGAGAGAGAAGCAACTCCTATAGAGCTGGATACAGAATTTGTAAAACATCATAGATATTACAATAAACAGAGAAACTCAGGGCTGATGGACATGAAATTTATTAACTTCTCTATTACTTTCTAAGGAAGTTGGGCAAATTTTCTACATAAAACAGTTTCCCTGTCAAATCCTCTGCCGCATATGCTCTCAACTTCTTTTACACAGCACTCTTCATAACCCATACCGCAAAGCTCCACTTGAGTAAAAAAAGTAGAGACTGTGTATATCCCCTCAAAGATTTTAGAACACATACCTTGAAATAGCAAACAAACGGCTTGGTGTGAAGAGACTCTTGTGCTGAGAGTGCTCTCTACACGCAGTGGATTTGCAATCTGATTATCTGGTTACTCCTGTCAAGGCTGCGCCAAGCCTCCCATGAGGAATTTACATTTGTCTATGAATTTACATTAGCTAAAACAGCTGTCTGGGCAATGGATTTCAAGGTTTTAAAATGAGGATCTACCCCCGACACCAATCCACTCTCCAAAATCAAAGGAAAACTGTGGCTTACTAGTGAACAAGTTAAAAAAGCACATCTACCTTCAGGATTTTCCTTATTGAGTTTGGCAAAATGTTTGTTTCAGCTGAAAGAAAAGAAACTATTTAAATGATCATTTGCTGAAATTTTAAAAGGGCAAGAAAAACTCAAATCAAACAACTTTTAATAATACTTTACCGCCAGAGGAAAATAAAATCAAAGCTGTCACTATAAAATAAAAAAGCAATTACCAACTTTTTGATTGTTATTCCTTTAAGCATCTACCTCAAGAAAGAGACTTGAGCAAAGCACAAGAGAAGAAGGAAAGAGGAGCTTTTTTGAAGCATTTCAAAATAAAGGACATACGAAATTAGGAAAACTGGAAGAGGAGTCATATTATCTGGGCTATCACAGACAGCAGTTTGTCGAAGTGCTTAGGAATTTTCTGTTAGTTTTAACTAGGGATAGCTCATATGCACACAGCACAGTGAAAAGATGTGGGTCTACTCATGCCACGCAGAAATAAAAATTCTGAAGAAACTAGCTGAGAAACTGGAAGAAACCACTGTTTCTTGCTAATGATGTCTGTGCAATGTAGCATCCCTAGTAGTTTTTTAGGTATGGGCCACTCTCAAAAGGGTGAGGGGAAATATATTGTGAACTGTTACATGGCCACGGCACTGTTAGAAGCAGAGCAGAGGATGTGGCTGATGTAGGGATAGGTCTAGTGAGTAGAGTGGTGCTGAGGGGTCGAGAAACAGAGCAAGGGCCGAAGGGGCCTACCACTGCTGGAACTGCAGAGCCGGGCCATTCCCTTTCAACCTTTCTTCACAGTGCGTGTTTCATGTACCAGGGCTGCAATGAAGAGCTGGAGGCAGCAGCTTCCTCAGCGGCTCCTGGCATTGCAGGTTTTCTGTTTCTGCTCTGAGCATCCCAACAGCCAGCACCTCCTCCTGATCTCTCTGGCCCTGGCCCTGCCATAGCCACCCTCTACTCTTTAAGTAACCAGGGTGCCTGCCAGCAGCAGCCCACCTGCACGTTGTGCAAAAGCCACCTGAGAAGTAAGGTATACTCATTCAACTGGTGCATGTTGATTTCTCATTAGGTTGCAAGCAAAGTCTTGTCTAGCCAGTTTAAAGCTAGCTTGGCTATCTTTATACTACACTGCAGTCACAACACAACATATACCTTGAGGGCAAGGAGAATGTCTACTACCACTTTTATTAGGCTATACAAATTAAGCAACTTTTAGAACTAAAAAATTGGGTCTAAGTTTTATGTCAGTAGCTGCTAGTTTATTTCACTTTGCAGGGCTCATTAGCTCAGACACAGTTCCGTGGCAATGTCTCTATACCTCTTGCTGTTCAGCATCTAGCTTGTTCAGGGATCTACACACGGAGATGTGTGCATTAGACACACTTAAGTCTCCTATAGTGGAAGACAGTCTCATATACACAACGTTCTTCAGTCAAATCCCTCCTGCTACACAAGACTAGACAATGACCAGCATATTTTGGCAGATGTTCCTAACACAAACTGTAATCACTTCACTGTTACTTTGCTCTTCCTGTCATACGGTTTACACTGTAAACTCTTTGGAGAAGGGATTGTCTTTTTGTCATTATGCCTATGATGTGCTGAAGTCCTGATAGCTGATCATGGGTTTGAAGATATAAATATTAGCCTAATAATAAAGCTCTTAAAATTTAACTGATGCTTAGCTGTCCTTTGAAATAAACCTGGTAATCATCTACTGGAAAAGAGAGAGAATGATAACCAATAGGAAGAGGTCCTGGTACTTGGATGACAAGAGCATGGACACGAAAAAGATGAGGCTACCAAAATGTGCATGTAACAGGCAATATGGATAGGTGTGTGGAGCCACACAGACAGAAAAAAATGATGATGTGGCAGGAAAAAAAGATCCAGCTTACCAAAGGAATTGAGATTTGCAGGGTCAGTTCTAGCTTTCCTCCTCTATCCCATTACAAAATATTTTTAAACCCTGTTTTATTATTACTAACATAGTCTCCTCTTTTAAAAATCATATCTCTAAATATTAAGTTACAGTTCATCATTATTAGAATTCAGTAATCTCTTTCTTCCCTAACAGAAAACACACACAAATTAATCAGTTTGCATTTGTTACCATCAACTAATTCATGTATTTTAGTGTAAGAGGCTCATGGAATTAAAAAAAAAGGAATGTGGCATACATCTTGCTTAAAACTGCTTTTTATGAATTCTCAAAAGACATATCTTAATTCTATTATACTAAATGAGTATGACTGAAAATGCACTGATTTAGTCCACCACAAGAATTTAAGAATCATGCAGATAGATAGAAGAAGACTAACAGTCTTCCCAGCATGAAATATCCTATCTGCATTGGTTACCAATGATGGCTGCTCAGGAAGAAGTCTAAGAAACAGAGTGTGCACAGGGGATTCTGCACTAACTGGCCATCTAGTCTTATTCTGCTGCTTCCTGCAGACACTGAAATGAAACGCTTGAGGCTTCCAAAAGCTGTAGCAGCTAATTTTACTTCAAACTAACTAGAATCTTTAACCTTCCACAATGCGTTAGAGGTATCTATGAAAAATAAGCTAAGCATTTCATATGACCAGCTTGCTGGAGAAAGAGCCGTAATACACAGTGTGCACTTTCTTTTTTTGCCAATAGCTCTGGAACTGGTGCTGGACATTTCAAGATGTGAAGAAAAGGTCTAGAATTTGTAGACAAAATGGTGTTAAACTGCTCTGCAGCACAGATTGTATTCCCAAACCGGAAACAAGTAAAAGGTTCAGAAGACAGATACTTTCATGATGCTTTAGGTACCCTTCAGCCTTCTTTTCCTCTTGTATTTAAATAAAGACAATACTTTGCTCAAATATAAAATTTTGTTACCACGCAATAGTTACTGTCTGGACCTTACATCACATCTACATCTAGAAGCAAGTTAAGTATTATTATTATTGTAAAACAATTTTACTCCCTTTAAAATAAATGGCAGTTTAACCATTTTAGTATAAAGGATCAGATCCATAAAATGTTATGAAATTCTATGCACTTATAAAGAGACTTTTATCTACATATGAATACTGGATACACTAATTGTTGGAATAAGTCACTGCAAATCCATTGATATCAAGGGAGTTATATTAACTATTGCCAAAAGGGATTTTGGCTCCACAAATCTATGAAACAGGAGATGAAGAAAGTCACTGGAAGCACAGGATGATATTATATGTTACTAAGTACGCAAAATTAAACCCCTGAATTAATTTTTAAACAAGATCTGTAAAACAGTGACCCATGTAAAGCCAAAAACTAAAATTATCTCCTACCTGCAAGAAAGGTGATGGTACTGGTTCACTTTGCAGGTCGTCAAAAAAAAACATAATTAACAATTAATTCCAGCGTGATCACTTTGTTGCTCATCTGCAGTGATGCTAAGCTTTCACAATTCCT